GGTGGCGGTGGTGGCGGTGGGTGGTGGTGGGGGTGGTGGTGGTGGCAGTGGTGGTGGTGGCGGTGGTCGTGGTGGGTGGTGGTGGTGGCGGTGGTGGCGGTGGTCGTGGTGGGTGGTGGTGGGGGTGGTGGTGGTGGTGGCGGTGGTGGTGGGTGGTGAGTTTGGCGGCGTGGCTGTGGTGGCGGTGGTGGGTGGCGGTGGCGGTGGTGGGTGGTTGTGGTGGGTGGTGGTGGTGGTGGCGGTGGTCGTGGTGGCGGTGGCAGCGGCGGCGGTGGTTGTGGCACGAGCGCACTGCTGTCGCTCTTGGCCAGCACCGTGCCCGGGCGGTGTGGCCGGCGTCTGCGCCCCCCCGCCTCCCCACGTGGCGCTGTGGTGGTGGTGGGCGGGTGGTGACCATCGTTCTGTGCGAGTGGGAGGTTTCAACACCTCTGGGCTGAACAAAGTCAGCGTGAAGCTTCATCGGAATGATGAGAATATTTATTTAGCCTGCAGGAGGAGTCCGACAATACTGCGAAGTTATGTATATATTTTTTTAAAATCACAAATGCCCAAACTTGAATCTTGGGTGCCCTGCGTCTCGTGAGATGGTGACGGCTCTTGGGATCGTTGCGTTTGGCGCCCTGCGCTCCGAACCTCGCGACCCCGGTTTGACTCCCGGCCACGGCCGACATCGCTGCGGCGTGATGTGCTGACCGGTCCTGGGGCCCCGTGCCACCTCGATGGAGACCTCGGCACGAAATCAAAACGAGTGCGCGGTGCGGCGTGCAAACGTCACCAGCGGGGAGACAAAGGCGGCCGGGCACGGCGTTGACCCACCCACCGCCTCGTGTGCTGTCCCCGGCCTTAGCAGGTCCTCGCGAACAGGACTTGCCACGAAAGTTTGTTGAGGCTACACGGGGGATCTTTGTCTTTGTTACGAGGGTTGGGGGCATTTAGAGACGAGGGATGGGGCAGGGGATTAAGGGGCGCTCGGGGATTGGCGGTGATAGGAGGAGGAGGGGGGAGGGGTTGGAGAGGGGTCGTGGGGTGGGGGGGCTCTCTGGGTGAAATCCACGTTGTCTCTGGCCTGCACCATCACTGAGGGCGTGTGTGTGTACACGTGTGTACATGTGTGTGTGTGTACATGTGTGTGTGTACGTGTGTGTGTGTGTGTGTACGTGTGTACATGTGTGTGTGTGTACATGTGTGTGTGTGTACATGTGTGTGTGTGTGTACATGTGTGTGTGTACGTGCGTGTACGTGTGTGGGGAGCGGTGGCGCAGTGGTTAGCGCGCTGCTCTACGAACCCAGCGACCTGAGTTCGATTCCCGCTCACGGCAAACACCGGCGACGATTATCTGAACCGGTCATGGGCCTCCCCTAGGTCGACTCAGCCTCAACATGAGTAGCTAGTGCGGTGTGTAAACATCGCGACTGGGGAGACAAAGGCGGCCGGGCGTGGTGCTGGCCACCCACCCCCCCTCGTGTGCCGTGCCGGCCTTCATAGGTGCTCGCTAACAGCACTTGCCCCGACAGTCTGTTAAAGCTATAAGGGTTTTTTTTGTCTTTGTGTGTGTGTGTACGTGTGTGTGCGTGTGTGTGTGTCTGTATGTGTGACGCAACGATGGCGCGACCTCTTGTGTGTGTCAGGCGCTCGCCAGAGATACAAACACGTGGCGGGCGAGTTCCCAGTGTACCACGTCGCCAACGGAGATCGTGAGCGGTGTGCTTGTGTGTACGTGTGTGTGTGTACGTGTGTGTGTGCATGTGTGTGTGTATACGTGTGTGTGCGTGTGTGTACGTGAGCGGTAGGGTAGCGGTTAGCGTGCTGCACTACGAACCCAGCGACCCGGGTTCGATTCCCGCTCACGGCCAACACCAGTGACGATTATCTGAATCGGTCCAGGGCTTCCCCTAGGTCGACTCAGCCTGAAATGAGTACCTGGTGCGGTGTGTAAACATCGCGACTGGGGAGACAAAGGCGGCCGGGCGTGGTGTTGGCCACCCACCCCCTCGTGTGCCGTGCCGGCCTTTGTTGGTGCTCGCTAACAGCACTTGCCCCTACAGTTTGTTAAGGCTATACGGGGGATCTTTGTCTTTGTACGTGTGTGTGTGTACGCATTGGCTCCGTCCGTCACGCAGGCTCGCGGGGTCACGCTAACCGGCGTAGCGTTGACCCCGGACGAGCGGAGCTTTCGCGTGGAGTCGACTTGCTCCCAGGGACTCGGCCGACAGGAACCGGGATGCGTTGATCACAACAGCAGGGCCAATGTCCATAATCGACTTCCCTTTGTCAATCCACTGCTGGATGAAGGCCTCTACATCCCCCCCCCCTATGCCTGGTTGCTTGACCACGCCGGTTAGTTCGGGTTGGTGGAGGAGGAAGGGCGCCACGGTGGCTATGAGATGTGAACTACCTCGCCTGGCGTGCAGGAGGTCGTGGGTTCAATCCCGATCCTGACGCCTGCTGTATATTTGGAGTTTTCGTGCCTCTCATCATCATCACGGTGGCTAGGAGATGTTAACTACCTCGCCTGGCGTGCAGGAGTTCGTGGGTTCGATCCGGACCCTGACGTCTGCTGCTGTATATTTGAAGTTTTCGTGTCTCTCATCATAATCACGGTGGCTATGAGATGTTAACTACCTCGCCTGGCGTGCAGTAGTTTGTGGGTTCGATCCTGACCCTGACGCCTGCTGCTGTATATTTGGAGTTTGCATGTCTCTCTTTCTCCCCGCGGTCGCGTGGACTTTTCTCCGGGTCCTCCGGTTTTTCCCTCCACATTTAGAATGAACGTCACTCTATCACATTTCCACGTGATGATGACAAGCCACTTGGTTGAGCTATCAGTTGTGGGCAGGTTACTTCTGAAAAAGAGCTACACAACTCAGTAGGGCCTTGTCTGGCAAAACAATCTTCGTCAAAAAAGATGATTTGCAAAAACGCAAATGGACGTTCCCCTTCCACCGGCTTCCCTCCCGCGGTGGAACGAGGGGCCCGCCGGTTCTCTCATTGACTCAGCCCATCATCCCTCTGGGGTCGATAAAATAAGTACCACTTTGTGGGCAGGTCACACAGCGGCCGATGCACGGTGGCGGCGGCTGCTTTGTCGGCCCGCCGCTGAGTGTAGGCCATCGTTGTCGGTCGTGGGGGGGTCGTTTGACCATACTTCACCGCGCTGGTCAGTGCGGGCTGGCACTGACCCAGCGCCCCCCCCCCACCGGCCGGTCCTTCACACGATTGGACTACGTAAATAAATATATAACCAGATCAAAACTAAAAACACGTGCGGGCCCTTGTTGTTCTGGCCGCGATGTTGCGCACACGCACGCACGCACGCACACACACACGAACGCACACACGAACGCACACACACACACGAAGGCATGCACACACACACGTACGCACACACGAACGCACGCACGCACACACACACACACGAACGCACGCACACACGAACGCACACACACGAACGCGCGCACACACACACGCACACACACGCACACATGAACGCACGCAGGCACACACACACACACGAACGCACACACGAACGCACGCACACACACACACACGCGAGCGCCTACGACGAAATCCCCGATCTGGCGAGCTGAGCAGGTTTGAGCCTGGTTAGCGACCGCCGTGCCCAGCAGCTGCTACAGGCAGCGGCAGTCGTTAGGCAAAGTTGGGGGGCGGGGGGGAGCGAGCGAACGAGCGGCGACCTCGTGCCCGCCGGCACGACGACGGCGGCAAGGGGAGGCCTCCGCCCGGCAGTGGATGGCTGCGTGGCGGGGGCGCCGCGCTCGGTCCGTGTTGGCACTGGCAATGAAAGCGATCTCCGTGGACGCAGCGCTGAGTTCCCGCGCGAGTGTGCGAGTGTGTGTGTGCGCGCGTGTGTGTGTGTGAGCGTGTGTTTGTCGAGTGTGTGAGCGTGTGTGTGTGTGTGTGAGCGTGTGTGTGTGTGTGAGTGTGTGTGTGTCCGCGTAAGATTTTGCGTACGGTCGCTTACCCATTGGCTCACGAAGCCCAATTGCTCGCTCGCTAACATACGTGGTTGTGGTGGCGAGCGTGGTGGTGGTGAGTGAACGTGGTGGTGGTGGTGGTGAGTGAGCGTGGTGGTGGCGGTGGTGAGTGAGCGTTGGTGGTGAGTGAGCGTGGTGGTGGTGAGCGAGCGTGGTGGTGGCGGTGGTGTTGAGTGAACGTGGTGGTGGTGGTGGTGTTGAGTGAACGTGGTGGTGGTGGTGAGTGAACGTGGTGGTGGTGGTGAGTGTGGTGGTGGTGGTGTTGAGTGAACGTGGTGGTGGTGTTGAGTAAACGTGGTGGTGGTGAGTGAACGTGGTGGTGGTGGTGGTGAGTGAGCGTTGGTGGTGAGTGAGCGTGGTGGTGGTCGTGAGTGAAACGTGGTGGTGGTGAGCGAGCGTGGTGGTTGTGGTGGTGGTGAGTGAGCGTGGTGGTGGTGGTAGTGAGTGAACGTGGTGGTGGTGGTGGTGACTGAACGTGGTGGTGGTGGTGGTGAGTGAGCGTGGTGGTGGTGGTGGTGGTGAGTGAACGTTGGTGGTGAGCGAGCGTTGGTGGTGAGTGAACGGGGTGGTGAACGTGGTGGTGGTGGTGAGCGTGGTGGTGGTGGTGGTGAGTGAGCGTAGTGGTGGTGGTGGTGAGTGAACGTGGTGGTGAACGTGGTGGTGGTGGTGAGTGTGGTGGTGGTGGTGAGTGAACGTGGTGGTGGTGGTGAGTGAACGTGGTGGTGGTGGTGAGCGTGGTGGTGGTGGTGAGTGTGGTGGTGGTGGTGAGTGAACGTGGTGGTGGTGGTGGTGAGTGAACGTGGTGGTGGTGGTGAGCGTGGTGGTGGTGGTGAGTGAACGTGGTGGTGAACGTGGTGGTGGTGGTGAGTGTGGTGGTGGTGGTGAGTGAACGTGGTGGTGGTGGTGGTGAGTGAACGTGGTGGTGGTGGTGGTGAGCGTGGTGGTGGTGGTGAGCGTGGTGGTGGTGGTGAGTGAACGTGCCGTGTGGCGGTGTCGCCCTCCAGACCGGTGCAGCGTGTCGAGCGGCAGCAGCGGCTTCTCCTTCAAGCCGATCCGCTCGCTGGCGCCGATCCCCACGGCGCACGTCATGCCCAGCGCCACCCTGGCCGGCACGCCGCCCTCACCGCCCTCGCCGGTACGCGGCAGCTCACCACCTCGCTCACCACCACACTCACCACCACGCTCACCACCACGCTCACCACCACACTCACCAGCCCACTCACCACCACACTCACCACCACACTCACCACCACGCTCACCACCACGCTCACCACCCCACTCACCAGCCCACTCACCACCTCGCTCACCACCACACTCACCAGCCCACTCACCACCACACCCACCACCCCACTCACCACCCCACTCACCACCCCACTCACCACCTCGCTCACCAGCCCACTCACCTCACTCGCCACACACCACCCCACTCACCACCCCACTCACCACCTCGCTCACCACCTCGCTCACCACCCCACTCACCACCCCACTCACCACCTCGCTCACCACCCCACTCACCAGCCCACTCACCACCACACTCACCACCACACTCACCACCCCACTCACCACTCACCATCCCACTCACCACCCCACTCACCAACACACTCAACACCTCACTCACCACCGCACTCACCACCCCACTCACCAGCCCACTCACCACCACACCCACCAGCCCACTCACCACCCCACTCACCACCCCACTCACCACCTCGCTCACCAGCCCACTCACCTCACTCGCCACACACCACCCCACTCACCACCATCCTCACCACCCCGCTCACCTAACTCGCCACTCACCACCCCACTCACCACCCCACTCACCACCCCACTCACCAGCCCACTCACCAGCCCACTCACCACCCCACTCACCAGCCCACTCACCACCCCACTCACCACCCCACTCACCACCCCACTCACCAGCCCACTCACCAGCCCACTCACCACCCCACTCACCACCCCACTCACCACCCCAATCACCAGCCCACTCACCACCCCACTCACCACTCCACTCACCACCCCGCTCACCACCCCGCTCACCACCCCGCTCACCACCTCGCTCACCACCCCGCTTACCACCCCACTCACCACCTCGCTCACCATCCTGCTCACCACCCCACTCACCACTATACTTACCACCCCACTCACCACCACACTCACCACCACACTCACCACCACACTCACCACCACACTCACCACTACACTCACCACCCCACTCACCACCCCACTCACCACTACACTTACCACCCCACTCACCACCACACTCACCACCACACTCACCACCACACTCACCACCACACTCACCACCCCACTCACCACCACACTCACCACCACACTCACCACCACACTCACCACTCCACTCACCACCACACTCACCACCCCACTCACCACCACACTCACCACCCCACTCACCACCACACTCACCACTCCACTCACCACCCCACTCACCACCCCGCTCACCACCCCGCTCACCACCTCGCTCACCACCTCGCTCACCACCCCGCTTACCACCCCACTCACCACCTCGCTCACCATCCCGCTCACCACCCCACTCACCACTACCCTTACCACCCCACTCACCACCACACTCACCACCACACTCACCACCACACTCACCACCACACTCACCACCCCACTCACCACTACACTCACCACCCCACTCAACACCTCACTCACCACCACACTCACCACCACACTCACCACCACACTCACCACCCCACTCACCACCCTACTCACCACTCCACTCACCACCCTACTCACCACTCCACTCACCACCCCACTCACCACCCCACTCACCAGCCCACTCACCACCACACTCACCACCCCACTCACCACTCACCATCCCACTCACCACCCCACTCACCAACACACTCAACACCTCACTCACCACCGCACTCACCACCCCACTCACCAGCCCACTCACCACCACACCCACCAGCCCACTCACCACCCCACTCACCACCCCACTCACCACCCCACTCACCACCTCGCTCACCAGCCCACTCACCTCACTCGCCACACACCACCCCACTCACCACCATCCTCACCACCCCGCTCAGCTAACTCGCCACTCACCACCCCACTCACCAGCCCACTCACCAGCCCACTCACCACCCCACTCACCACCCCAATCACCAGCACACTCACCACCCCACTCACCACCCCACTCACCACCCCACTCACCACCCCACTCACCACCCCACTCACCACCCCACTCACCACCCCACTCACCAGCCCACTCACCACCCCACTCACCACCCCACTCACCAGCCCACTCACCAGCCCACTCACCACCACACTCACCACCACACTCACCACCACACTCACCACCACACTCACCACTCCACTCACCACCCCACTCACCACCACACTCACCACCCCACTCACCACCACACTCACCACCCCACTCACCACCACACTCACCACTCCACTCACCACTCCACTCACCACCCCACTCACCACCCCGCTCACCACCCCGCTCACCACCTCGCTCACCACCCCGCTTACCACCCCACTCACCACCTCGCTCACCATCCCGCTCACCACCCCACTCACCACTACACTCACCACCCCACTCACCACCACACTCACCACCACACTCACCACCACACTCACCACCACACTCACCACCCCACTCACCACCACACTCACCACCCCACTCACCACCTCACTCACCACCACACTCACCACCACACTCACCACCACACTCACCACCCCACTCACCACCCTACTCACCACTCCACTCACCACCCCACTCACCACCCCCACTCACCACCCCACTCACCACTACACTCACCACCCCACTCGCCACCACACTCACCACCACACTCACCACCACACTCACCACCCCACTCACCACTACACTCACCACCCCACTCACCACCTCACTCACCACCACACTCACCACCACACTCACCACCACACTCACCACCACACTCACCACCACACTCACCACCCCACTCACCACCACACTCACCACCCTACTCACCACTCCACTCACCACCCCACTCACCACCCCCACTCACCACTCGACGGCAAGTGCTGTTAGCGAGCACCTACGAAGGACGGCACGGCACACGGAGGGTGGGTGGCCAGCCCCACGCCCGGCCGCCTTTGTCGCCCCAGCGGCGATGTTTACACTCCGCACCGGGTGCTCATTTTGAGGCTGAGTCGACCTAGCGCGAGTCCCAGGACCGGTTCAGATAATCGTCACTGCACACCCTTCCTTGCCTCCCGGTCCCTTCTCTCGCGCCCCCCCCCCAGGTCTCCCCCGGCAACTTGTCGTGCGGCCGCCGGCGTTCCCGCACGGGCGCCCCGGGCCCCGCGGGCCGCCCGCTCCGCGCCGCCCGCGACCCCGAGGCCTCGGCGGCCGCCCCCTCGTCGCGCGCCGAGCGGGAGGGGCGGCCCGGCAAGGAGCGCGCTTCCCGCTCGTGCCTCGCCGGCCGGGGGGCCCGGGGCCCCCTCGCCGGAGAGACGTCGCCGACGGGGGCCGCCGGCCTTCACCGGGGCGGAGGAGGAGGCGCCGGCGGCTCTCGGAGCCAGGAGCGGGCCCCCCGCTCGGGAACCGGCGGAGGGCCGGGCGACGTCGCCGCGGTGGCGGCGGCGGCGGCGGCGGCGCGCTCGCTGCACAAGAAGTGGTCGTCGCTGACGCGGCTGCACGGCAGCGGCGGCGCCGGCGAAGCGTCGGACTCGACGCCGGGCGGGCGGCGCAGCGGGGACGAGTCCTCGGAAGCGGAGTTGGCGGCGCCGGCGTCGAGGAGCGCCGGCGGCGTCCGCTCGCCGGCCGAACGGGGCGCCGGCGGCACGGACGGCGGCGCCGTGGGCTTCGCGCCGATGCCGGAGAGTAAACCTCCTCTCGGCCGCTTCGCCTCCCATGGGCAGCATCAGCAGCAGCAGCAGCAGCAACAGCAGCAGCAGCAACAGCAGCAGCAGCAGCAACAGTTGCACCAGCAACATCAGCAACAGATGCATCAGCAGCAGATACAACAGCAGCAGCAGCAGCAGCTGCAGCAGCATCATCATCAGCAGCTGCAGCAGCATCAGCAGCAGCAGCAACAGCAGCAGGTGGTGGCGCTGGGCCTGCGAGCCGGAGGCGGCTTCGGGGCGCCGGCCGCACAGTGGCCGCCCGGGGCCTCCGTGGACGAGGCCGGCGTGGTCGCGTGGCAGCAGCAGCAGCTGGAGGAGTTGCGCCGACACGTCTCGGATCTGCAGGTGAGCGGGCGGTTGCACTCACTCACTCGCTCACTCGCTCATTTGCTCACTCGCTCACTCGCTCATTCACTCGCTCACTCGCTCACTCACTCGCTCACTCGCTCGCTCACTCGCTCACTCACTCGCTCACTCGCTCACTCACTTATTCACTCAATCGGTCACTCACTCACTCACTGGTTCACTGGCTCATTCACTCACTCGCTCATTCACTCACTCGCTCACTCACTCACTCGCTTATTCACTCATTCGCTCACTCGCTCACTCGCTCACTCACTTGCTCACTCACTCATTCCCTCACTCGCTCACTCGCTCACTCACTTGCTCACTCATTCACTCATTCACCCGCACGCCTGCGTGCCTCCGGTCCCCGTCACGGGGTGGTTGGTGGGGAGCAGGGGGGGGCAATTCGTCTTGGGGGTGAGATGCTAACGACCTCGCATGGTGCACAGGAGGTCGTGCGTTGAAGCCCCGACCCTGACGCCTGCTGTATATTCTCAGTTTGCGTGTCTCTCTCTCTCCCCGTGGTCGCGTGGATTTCTCTCCGGGTCCTGCGGTTTTCCCCTCCACGTTTAGAATGAACGTGTGACGCGTTTAGAGTATTTAGGTGTTGATATAAATGTCCACACACGACGATAAGCCACGTCTCCCTGTGGCCAGGTCGCTTCTGAAACAGAAGCTGATAGCTCAGTGGGCCTTACGTGGTAAAATACAAAAAAATGTGTATTCTTTGGGACTTTCGGTGAGGTCACGTAGATAGGTTCAAAGAAAATAACAAAAAACTTCGACGGTTCGATCGCGACAGGAGCGGTCGTCATCAGGAAGAAAAACATTTGCTTGTGTTGTGTTGGAAACGTCGTAGTTTTTAATAATTTTTTTGTTATTTTCTTTCAACCTCTCTACGTGACTTTACCGAAAGACCCAAAGAATATGAATTCCTGCAGTCACGGAAGCTTTAAGTCAACAGACAAAAATGTGTTTAATAATCATTGTATAGCCCCGCCCCACTCCTTTAGAGGGTTTCCAGGCGACGCGTTTTGCGGTTTCGCATCGTCAGGAAGCCGCTGGTCACGCGCACGGCCAGGATCCACATTGCGCGCCGTTTGAACCGGCGACCGAGTCGGGCCGGCCGAGTGGATGGCGGCGGTGGCGGCGCTCGCTCTGCGCCTCGCAGCAAGTAGGGGCTGGGTTCGACTCTCGACTCGGGGCTCCGTTCTGTCCGGAGTTTGTGTTGCGTCCACCGCCTGTGGCCGCAGAGTGTGAGCGAGTGTGTCATTACGCGCGAGTGTTTGCGCGAGTGTTTGCGCGAGTGTGTGCGAGTGTTGTGAGAGTGTTGTGAGAGTGAGCGGGTTTGTGTGGGGAGCGGTGGCGTAGCGGTTAGTGCTACGCTGCGCTACGAACCCGGCGACCCGGGTTCGATCCCCGCTCACGGCCAACACCGGTGACGATTATCTGAACTGCTCCTGGGCCTCCCCTAGGTCGACTCAGCCTCAACATGAGTACCTGGTGCGGTGTGTAAACATCCCCACTGGGGAGACAAAGGCGACCGGGCGTGGTGCTCGCCACCCACCCCCTCGTGCGCCGTTCCGGCCTTCACAGGTGCTGCTTTTTAACAGCACTTGCCCAAACAGCCTGTTAAGACTACACGGGGGATCTTTGTCTTTGTGTGTGCGAGTGAGTGGAGGTTGTACATTCTCCGCCGCTGTTCTGCATGGCTCTGCTGGTGGGTTCTCCGGTTTTTCTCCCATCGCTAAACCCACACGCACAGTGGAGTCGGTGTTGGCCAAAGTATCCCAATGCTGAAACATCGCCAGCAAACGACTCAATTGGGGATGACGCAGCAGTAGCAGCAGCAGGAGCAGCAGCAGTAGCAGCAGCAGTAGTAGCAGCAGTAGCAGCAGCAGTAGTAGCAGCAGTAGCAGCAGCAGTAGTAGCAGCAGTAGTAGTAGCAGTAGCAGCAGCAGTAGTAGCAGCAGTAGCAGCAGCAGTAGTAGCAGCAGTAGCAGCAGCAGTAGTAGCAGCAGCAGTAGTAGCAGTAGTAGTAGCAGCAGTAGTAGCAGCAGCAGTAGTAGCAGCAGTAGCAGCAGCAGTAGTAGCAGCAGTAGCAGCAGCAGTAGTAGCAGCAGCAGTAGTAGCAGTAGTAGTAGCAGCAGCAGGAGCAGCAGCAGTAGCAGCAGCAGCAGTAGCAGCAGTAGCAGCAGTAGCAGCAGCAGCAGTAGTAGCAGCAGTAGCAGTAGTAGCAGCAGCAGTAGTAGCAGCAGTAGCAGCAGTAGCAGCAGCAGTAGCAGCAGCAGCAGTAGTAGTAGCAGCAGCAGCAGTAGCAGCAGCAGTAGCAGCAGTAGCAGCAGTAGTAGTAGTAGCAGCTGCGAAGACCTGGCAGCACCCTCCTGAACTAGAGTCTTGAGACTCAATGAGGATCTCTTCTGAGTGACCACGCGTAGCAGTAAAAATATATGTGTTTTTTAAAATAAATAACACAGACCTAGAATCGTGTCACCACGATTCTAGGGGGGGGGGGGGGTGGCACGTGCCCCCCCAATGATCCGATCGAAATTAGGGATTAGTAATAAATCTGCATTTTGCGACCCCCACTGCCACTGTGTAACATATTATTATGTGCCAGGGACTCTATGAGATGATAGGACAATAGTCCGAGTCCATAATTGGCAATACACGACTTCCCTGAAGGCATTCACCTTCAGCGAGCGCGATGCCGATCACACGACGTGGTTCGATCGATGGCGCAGCCATCCATCGAACCACGTTTCGAGTAAAATGCAAGGGACAACTCTATACTTACTAACAACTCCTTACTTACTAACAACTCCTTACTTACTAACAACTCCTTACTTACTAACAACTCCTTACTTACTAACAACTCCTTACTTACTAACAACTCCTTACTCACTAACAACTCCTCACTTACTAACAACTCCTTACTAACAACTCCTTACTTACTAACAACTCCTCTATCATGTTTCATTGCTGGAGGGGTTGCCCCCCCCTACCTGAAAATCCTGGCTCCCCCATTGCTCCTGCCTAAGTGCGCGTAACCCGAATAATGACGATAGGAGCGTGATAGGAATTCCCAGCATGCTTTGCATGTCATGGTAGCAGCAGTGTTGTTTACACGTTGTGTATGAACGTTGAACTTTTTTCGCACCGTACATAGCCAACCGTGCTTATCGGAGGTGCAGTGTTGAGTGTATGGGCAGTGTTGAGTGTATGGGCAGTGTTGAGTGTATGGGCAGTGTTGAGTTCATGGGTAGTGTTGAGTTCATGGGTAGTGTTGAGTGTATGGGCAGTGTTGAATGTATGGGTAGTGTTGAGTGTATGGGCAGTGTTGAGTGTATGGGCAGTGTTGAGTTCATGGGTAGTGTTGAGTTCATGGGTAGTGTTGAGTGTATGGGCAGTGTTGAATGTATGGGTAGTGTTGAGTGTATGGGCAGTGTTGAGTGTATGGGCAGTGTTGAGTGTATGGGCAGTGTTGAGTGTATGGGTAGTGTTAGTCTATGGGCAGTGTTGAGTTCATGGGTAGTGTTGAGTGTATGGGTAGTGTTGAGTGTATGGGCAGTGTTGAGTGTATGGGCAGTGTTGAGTGTATGGGCAGTGTTGAGTTCATGGGTAGTGTTAGAGTGTATGGGCAGTGTTGAGTGTATGGGCAGTGTTGAGTGTATGGGCAGTGTTGAGTGTATGGGTAGTGTTGAGTGTATGGGCAGTGTTGAGTGTATGGGCAGTGTTGAGTGTATGGGCAGTGTTGAGTGTATGGGCAGTGTTGAGTGTATGGGCAGTGTTGAGTGTATGGGCAGTGTTGAGTTCATGGGTAGTGTTGAGTGTGTGGGTAGTGTTGAGTTCATGGGTAGTGTTGAGTGTATGGGCAGTGTTGAGTGTGTGGGCAGTGTTGAGTGTATGGGCAGTGTTGAGTGTATGGGCAGTGTTGAGTTCATGGGTAGTGTTGAGTGTATGGGCAGTATTGAGTGTATGGGTAGTGTTGAGTGTATGGGTAGTGTTGAGTGTATGGGCAGTGTTGAGTGTATGGGCAGTGTTGAGTGTATGAGCAGTGTTGAGTGTATGGGTAGTGTTGAGTGTATGGGCAGTGTTGAGTGTATGGGCAGTGTTGAGTGTATGGGCAGTGTTGAGTGTATGGGCAGTGTTGAGTTCATGGGTAGTGTTGAGTGTATGGGCAGTGTTGAGTTCATGGGTAGTGTTGAGTGTATGGGCAGTGTTGAGTGTTTGGGTAGTGTTGAGTGTATGGGCAGTGTTGAGTGTATGGGTAGTGTTGAGTGTATGGGCAGTGTTGAGTTCATGGGTAGTGGTGAGTGTATGGGCAGTGTTGAGTTCATGGGTAGTGTTGAGTGTATGGGCAGTGTTGAGTGTATGGGTAGTGTTGAGTGTATGGGCAGTGTTGAGTGTATGGGCAGTGTTGAGTTCATGGGTAGTGTTGAGTGTATGGGCAGTGTTGAGTTCATGGGTAGTGTTGAGTGTATGGGCAGTGTTGAGTGTATGGGCAGTGTTGAGTTCATGGGTAGTGTTGAGTGTATGGGCAGTGTTGAGTTCATGGGTAGTGTTGAGTGTATGGGCAGTGTTGAGTGTATGGGTAGTGTTGATTGTATGGGCAGTGTTGAGTGTATGGGTAGTGTTGAGTGTATGGGCAGTGTTGAGTTCATGGGTAGTGCTGAGTGTATGGGCAGTGTTGAGTTCATGGGTAGTGTTGAGTGTATGGGCAGTGTTGAGTGTATGGGTAGTGTTGAGTGTATGGGCAGTGTTGAGTTCATGGGTAGTGTTGAGTGTATGGGCAGTATTGAGTTCATGGGCAGTGTTGAGTGTATGGGCAGTGTTGAGTTCATGGGTAGTGTTGAGTGTATGGGCAGTGTTGAGTTCATGGGTAGTGTTGAGTTCATGGGTAGTGTTGAGTGTATGGGCAGTGTTGAGTTCATGGGTAGTGTTGAGTGTATGGGCAGTGTTGAGTGTATGGGCAGTGTTGAGTTCATGGGCAGTGTTGA